TTTCGGCCCTCACTGTCACATGCAAGCGAGCTGTGCTCGCTTGCCTTCTCCTGCACGTCTAATTTTTTATTTTTTTTAATATTTGTGTCTTCCATATCGGTCCCACGAGTATGGGAGAAATAAAAGGTCCACCCAGGGAGAGCCCCCTGTCCCTGGGTAAGTGTACATTTGTGTCCCAACCAGGGGGTCCACCGGTCCCCTAGCTGGGGGTGCGCTCACGACTGATGCTACTCCTCAGCCATACATACCATCGCCGCGCACCAGAACTTAGTATTGGAGGAATTTTTTATAGAGGTTGTCTTCCTCGCGGTCCGGGCGGTTAAGCCAAGACCCTCGTCCCGGTCCGAGTCATAAAACATGACCATGATCTCTTCCCGGATTACGATATCGACGGGTGCAGTCGGGCGCAACTAGTGCCCCGATGCTACTCGTTGGCAGGGTGAGTGCGCAACGAGCGCCGCCCTTGCTCCTCCGCCACGTTCTCTGCTAGGTCCAGAGGATCGTGCGGATGAACGCCCCCACAGAGGCGCAGGCCCTATGCCAGCACAGAGCAAGTCGCCTCTAGAACCCGACCGGGTTCTCCGCCCGGCCAGAAGTTCGCTGCGGGCGACAGTCAATCCAACCCTGTCTCCATCCCGTTAGGGAGACTGTCGCCCGCACCCAGGGTGCACCACGGGGAGGTCTTCTGGCACGCACCCCTACTGAGATGTGGCCTGTTGCACGGCCCGTCGTGTGGTTTGTCATACATTGCTCATGATGTCGACGTTGAAATTGCGATGACACGGCCTGTTGATGCAATGTACGATGAACATTTTCACACGATTAATGTTGCATTTTGGATTTGACTTCATATTCAAAACTGAGCGAATCTTCAAGATGCTAATGGGCACCAGCACTGGATTATGTTGTCTAAAGAATACATCACTAAGTTTTAATTAATATATGTATTATATGAGTATAACATGATATGTGTAAGTATGGTAGAGCCAAGTTTCGGCACTAATGGGTCGGCTTGACCAGAGTGATACCACGACCTCACAGGAAACTGCCGTGGAACAACGACCGCGTTGTGTTTCGCCATGTGAATGAGGTTACTGGAGGCCCTATACTTCTTCCCCTCCCCTCAATCTCTCTAAATTTCCGAAACCCTACTCGTAAAAAGGAAAACGAAACGCACTCGTTACTCTTCTGGTGGTGCGGGTGTATTTGGGATACGCCGCCGATTGGATACCATCAGGTAATACGCAGGTATTATCACATAAAAATATGGGTCGTTGTAAGTATATGTATACGTCTATCTATCGACTGTAGTCAGAATTTTAATTCGATTCCAGATTTGACATGACCTACTGTCATTTTATGAAATAATGATACCACATACAGTGTAGTGATGAACACAAAAATCGGTTAACTATTAGTGAATCAGTTACAGGAAGGCATTAAAAAAATTATGGCTACCGAATGGTCTAAATGCGTATCCCATGTTGTTAAAGAAATGAGTAAGCTAGATATATTAATTGACAATAAATATCACAGACACAATTCGATATGAATGTTCCTTCATGATCCCATTTTTTATTAATTTCACACACAATTATAAAAGAAAAGTCTCAAATCGTTAATTAATTGTCAAAACTAAATAATCGGTTCAGAAATATTTAATGTCCTGATAAACTTAGTTTACGAGAGTAATTTTATAAACGAGAGAAATCGATTCAGAAATATTCCATTTCCATATCGAATAATTTCGCAACGTCACTATTTAGTACTTGTAATAACGTTGCAACAATGAAATTGTCATACCTGGAATCGAATTAAAATTAAATGTTAGGGAAAATATATATTTTTAATTCCGCGAAAAAAATCTAGGCTTGTTGCAGGTTGCAATCCCACTCCTATGCATATGCACATGCAGCAAGGGTACACATGCATATGCACACATACACAAAACGGAAAAACATGCCACGCAATCAAACCTATACTCGACACGTGTTTCGCCCCTCCACAGGGCATCCTCAGGAGATGTTGACTCGACGAGCGCTCGGCTGCGAAACATTTAATGTCATGGATTTCCGCAAAGTAACGCCTGATTCTATAAATTATCGAATTAAAATTCCGAGTGTAGTGAAGATTTTCATACCTTTCACTGACTTACTGTTACTTCAATCTGTATAAAGCCCTAATAATTTTATTAGACCGTGCTCTGAATAGAAAACACTAAAGAAGTTTGATCATTTCAGTTATTGAATCCAATTGTAATGTAGACTAGTTTCAAATTTTGCCCCGCTAGGAATAATACGTTGAAATGAAATCAAAATATCGTTTACTACAAGAAGCTCTCGTCAAGAAACTACAGACGAGGCGAACTTGTTTCTGTATGTTCTGCTGTTCTACTTCTATGAGATAATGTTAAGATATCGAAGATTATTATCGCCATAAATGACATGTATGGTTTACATTAAAACTCATCAATATATAGGTATATGTTGCCTGAAATACCCATACCTGTGTTTATGTAATTATTTTTATGTTTAGTATAAGTGTGAGAGAGTCATGCTTCGGTATGAATAGGTCTGCTCGAAAAACCGGCGTGAAACAAACACAGCGTTGTGTTTCGCCGTGTGAGTGAGATTATCTGAGGCCTAATCCTTCCCCTCCCCCAATCCCTCCCCAATACCTAATCCCCAAAAGAAAGATCGGCAACGCACTCGTAACTCCTCTGCTGTGGGAGAGTCCATGGGCGGCGCTGATTGCTTACCATCAGGTAAACCGTCAGCTCGTTTGCCGACAATTAAAAATTATTGTGAAATGAATTGAAAGAAATTTTCGTTCACAGCACAGTTTCTTTTTTTATTGAGAGTGAGAATTTCTTTATTATTTTTTCTGCCCTTAGTGTTAAATTCATTCTGACTCAAACCGTCCTACGATTTCTCGTGCCGAGCCGAGACCACGGTACATTCTTGCACTTGCATTCAATTATGGGGTTCGAATATCATAAAAAAAAGGTTCGGTATGAGTTCAAAATCCATTTTAATTATTTTTATGTTTAGTAATACTTAAAAACTAGTGTTACAATTAATTTTATCACATTTTCTTTTTCACAATCACTTTTATAGATACATCGTTTTCATTATAAAAATAATAGTTATTATGCTTTTAATTATTGTACTCAATATAATCTTCCACTGGATGAGAAACTTATTTTATATTATTAAATACAGCTTTGCTTATGAGATGCTTTTTTATGGTCGAAGTATTTACATAAAATCTTCAATTTAATATCTCATTGTCATATTAAATGTGTGTAGGTAAGATTCACTAATTTCATTAGCCTCACATTTATTTATGAGATTTCTAAAATAAAATATTTATTTATGCTAAAGTTGTAAACAGTGATTGTGTAATTATATTAAAACAAAAGCAGTAAAATCTATTTATATAGTCACGTGTGTTTTATGTAATACCAATAACTTTAAGATGTCAAATATTTATATCGTAAATAATATCGTGTAATTTATGTAATCTCAATTTTTTTATTACATGAAAATTAATTATAAAAATATATTTTATCCACACAATGTTTGTTAATGGCATAAAATACTCGTAGAAGTAAGTTAAAACTATTGTACAATATTAACTGGTAACTGTGTTCTAAAATAATAAAAAAGTTTTTTTAGAAAAGGTTTAAAAAGAGGAATATTAACATGGCTGCCTATTAAAATAAGAAGACGGTAATGAAAAATAAAATGATACAAATAATTTAAAAAATAATTTCCCTGCCCGCGGGATTTATAATCATGGCAGTCGTTTTGGTTTCACCAATGCTCGTCAAATTCGAATTAGTTCTAAAAGATTTTTTATAGATTGTGGTTTTGGTCTGGAGAAGTTGCTTTGAGGTAATAAGCCCTTGCCTTTAAGAAAAAGTAATCCTTAATTATAGTTGCGTAGTGCTTAAAATCAATTTTCCCTTAACATAAACAAAAAATTGATCTAAAAAATATAAGAAAATACTTATTTCTAGTTCTTAAATGTAACTTAATTTAAAACTTAACTAAAAATTGGCAAATAACAGCTAATGTTAAATTATGTATGGACACTTGTACATTCATATTTTTACAACGTAATAGTTATACCTATACAAACATTTAGTATTACTGAAGTTTTTTAATATTAATTCACTTATTTTATATCATTGTTTGACGTTTAATCGAATAATAAAGACCTCCTTTTTGTAAATGTCTTTTTAATTTATCAATTAATTCTACTTACAATCTATTTGTGATTTTTTCTTCGATGATGTTTTTTTTTTCAGAAACATACAATTATCACATCTTTCTTACCTTACTAAGGGTGCTGCCGCAATTAGTCAGATCCGAACCCGACACGAACCCGCTAAGATATTAATCTGTCATACCCGAAGAGCCTATTATAAATTACCTTAGCATTAAATACGTCATCCGACTTCTTTAAAGGGTTCTTAATTTCGTTCGAGTTCTCTAGACCTATATTTTCATGGTTCCGGATCTGATTCGGATCGGAATTAATGCGCGTATGCTCCAAATTTTTTTACGTCGTGCTTAAGAAATTGGACAAAAAGAAATTATTAATCGGAAGTAGTTAAACCTTTATGGCCTTATTAGAAAACAAGGTTTTTTTTTTGTTTCGGCTTAAACCATTGAGCCAGTTTTCGTGTTTCAAATCGAAGGTAGGTGAAAATAAGATTCAAAATACAAAACCTGACTCAATGGTTTAAATCTAGACTAAAGATAAATCTTGTTTTGTTATAAGGGGGTTGGTGCCTACAAGAGAGCCCATTTGAGGTAATCGATTAAATCTTTGTTGATGAAAACATAAGAGCTAAATATTGTTTAGAAACAACTAAGAATAATGTAGTCAAAAATGAAAATAAAAGTCAAAGTCAATCTGAACATAGGTTTACAGACAGCACAGCATGTATAGAAGAAACTGTGTGTTTGCTAGTACACGAAAATTAAAAAGTGTATTCAAACAAGAATCGATACCTTAGGTAATTTCGTAATTAAAATTCACAACCTAATCAGCGAGTTTACAGTCCATGAGACTACCTTAGCTCTAAAAAATCTTAATAAGTAGGTAAAAATTGGAATGTTAACCTCTGCGAGTAAAAAGAAAATGGACGGAGTTTCCATTTATACGAAAGATGATAAAAAATCTAGATACCTTTAGCATTGATTTCAAGGAACATTAATTCGCCAATGACAGCCAAGACAGAAAGTTTATAGAAGTGAGTCAATTGAGTTCAACGAATGTCAAAGCATTTAAGATAGTATAATCAAAAATGTCTATACTTTTTCTAAAGGCTTTTCAAATTCCATTTATGAGTACTACTATGCCAATGTACCCTGAATTTAACTTTATTCTAATAAATCACACAGTCATCGTATCATTCATTGTAATGCTTGTTACATTAGCAACTACTTCCAAAGGAGAAGTGCTATAGAACTTGTCAACCATACTTCTGATAGAAGTGTAAGATCCAGCAAAGAGAGCGATGAGAGAGATCATGGCAATGAACAAGTTCTTCCAGAGAATCCATTTGAAGGGTCCAAGACCTCTGTCCCATTTGTGGACAGTGTCGATGATTGCTGGTGTGAGGAGTCCAAGGGTTGAGAGGAAAATGGCGCCACTTAAGTTGATAAAAAGTTCTAAGTCAGGGAAAGCCGCTGCGAGGGCAACTGGAAAAATAATAATAAAAAATAAAATGATTGCAAAAGAAAATGTGCTGTGGATTGTAAAAGTTAAGTAAGATATTAATTGAGAGTGATAAAAACCATTTTAATTTTAAGATGTTAAGATTAACTTGATACTTAGCTATGTAGTCACAAGTAATTAAATTCTATAAATAAATAATTTGTGGTTATTATTCTGAGCGTCTATCTGAAGTGCTTATTAAAAAACTTGTCAAAACATCCACAGCAATTTAAAGTTTTCAGTCACCAATTATTCTTTATGTCTCAAGGGAAGGCTTTTGTTTTGTGATTTCTTAGTTTTGTATATTTTAACGTTTTACAATTTTAAACAAGTTAAAATAGGTGTTGTATGAATTTCAGATTCAAAGATACAATAAAAGAGTATGGCTCCATAAATGAAGGACTATTTGGATTTGATTTGAAGTAGTATTGGTATTAAAGTAAATACAAGGAACAGATTCTCACCTGAGCCAACAACAGCTGTGGTCCTGATAGAGATTTGTGTGATGTTATGGTATCTCACTGAGATTTTCTCGTGTAACTGTCTCCAGATCATTTCCATGGGCACGTAGAACTGTAGACTGTAGGTGAACAAAATCGCTAAGGCCATCAAGATCTTTGCACTTTGAGCGAGACTGTAAGTAAAAACAAAGTTTAAGGCTTCATGACTCCAGATTATCGTTTCATGTCTGATGCAGTGGGATGTCATATGCGGGATATTCAACATTTTCAGGTACCGATTTTTGTTAAATTAGATCAATATAATTGTCTATAAAAATGTGCTACTCACACTTCATCCTGAGGCAGATTCAATGTGACACTTCCTCTGACATCGTCTCCATACTTCATGTAGCCAAAGAATCCGACGATGCCATACAGAGAGATAACAATGGTCATAGCCACGTTCAGTACTCCAGGACAGCCGAGGAATTGTTGAGGTTTCGCCATCTCGTTCTCAACTGGCATCACCACACCGATACCTTCCATTGCGAATATCACTGTGCTGGAAAGAGATAAAAATATTTTTATTGGGTTATTTTAATTTGATCATTATTGTTAAATTATTTAATTTTTTCAATGGCATTTTATTTTTTTGTGTAGCAGTTTCTTAGGTGTGATGCTGATAATATATAATAATGAGGTCCTTTATTTTGTTTTTGTTTTTCTCTCCGTTGGTCTTTTGTGGTTTGGAATTTTAGTCGTGTTCAATATGAGGCCTCAGAATACAGATGTTTTGTATTCTAAGTATGAGGCTTAACTTTTCAAGGGACTTATCACTAACAATATTACCCGGCCAGGATACGCCACGGCCAGGCCTAGAGCAGGAGAAGGAACGGGGTGAGTCTGTAAGAGTCTCACACTCTCTCTCACCCCATCTAGGGCAGGAAAAGTCATTGGATGACTTTATCTTCTCAAAAAAGGTACGCTTTTGATTACTTTTTTACGAGCAATACACGTGTGAAGTATACGACTCAATTTGTCGACTGTTTAGAAAAAATGTTTAGAATATTTGTTTTCAACTTTGAAAAAGCTTGAGCCTTCTCCCATTAAGTAAATCTTTATAATAACTGTATTTCAGCCGTCTCAGTAATTAAAAGTTTAGAGACTTGAAGAATGATAATAGTTTTTAGTATTGGATTTAGGCCCATCGTTAGCGTAAATTGTTTGAGACTTTTATACAGTTATTATGGTGATTAAGTTGTATGCTTGACTTGATTTTAAACTACATACGTTTAATGTATTGGAAGTAATATTCTTTAATATATTTTTGTATTTTATTTTGACGATGTATTTTGAGTTTATAGTGATAGTTTAACGAAGTTTAAATCAGAAATATAGGTGGGATAGTTAAATAAAGTTATAAGAAGTTTGATGTTAAACTATTTTTTTTTCATGAGATAGATCGATTCGCTGAAGGATTACATAATGGTAAGCAATTAGCACCGGCCAGGGGCACCCGAAAAACATAAGAAGTAAGGAGTGGGTTGCCAGCCTTTTGGGGATAAAAGTTTCAGATATTTATGGATTGAAAAAGGATGGCATTGGGCCTCCGGTAACCTGACTCACACGACGTTGTGGTTGTTTTACGCCGCTATTTTGTAAGATCCTGGTGTTATTCCGTTTGAGCCAACCCAGGCAGGCAGGCCGTGCCGAAACATGGCTCTCTCACATTTAAAATAAATGAATTTAACTAAACTTTAACTTAAACTTTAACTTTAAGGTTTATTGCACGAGGTTTACTCAACATTGTAAGAACTCTTTTCTCAATCAAAAAACAAAGACGAAAAGCAGACTTACCTGATAAACAAAGGCCATTGGGTCACGCTAGCAACCACCACCCTTCCCTCAGGCTTCGGCAGGTCACTGAAGATGTAATACATGGTGATGGCGAAACAAATCACCAGAAACACGTTGGCTATCGCCGAGAATGGTACAAGCCATTTCAAATTCCTGATCTGACAGATCAGTACCAATGGCACCAGTGTCAGAGCACAGTATGCTTCCACTGATAGCTTGTATTCTGGCATGTATTCGTCAAGGACCTGGAATATTAAGATATGATTATAAATATTATTATGAATAACAAGAAAATGACTTGTTGATGGAGTAGAGTGGAATTTTAAAGAGTAATTGTTGAGTTAAGGCCATCAGATGGGAAAAACTAACTTAGTAAAAAAGAAAAAAAAATTGTGATAGTTTTACTTCCCATATTTCAAAAGTAGATAGCCAGTTTATTTTTATTTGTTTGTTTTATTTTACAAAAGGTTTACAGACTAAGGGAAAAGTGTTTATAAAAAAAAAAAATATGATCAAATTGCTAATTACAAGTAGAGTTATTGGTAGAGTTTATTTTTAAAGTATTTAAGTAGACTGACTGCCTAATCGAGGATTGCAAGAAGTGGTTATGGTGAATGTTAAGAAATAACAATTTGTATAAAGTAATTTGTGTGGTAATGTTTTCTACCATAAATCTGTTGTATTACGGGTTTGGGTCAGGCTAAAGTAGTTTGACTATATATTTGGATATTTCTGTTAAAGTTTAAAATTGTGTTTTGAGTTTAACAATAGTTGTACCCCATCCAACCCTTTGGGGTACACCAAATGTTCCCTCGTGTTATTTTATCATAGACGTTCTAGAGACCCGCATTGCAGAAACTTCCTCGAACTCCAGAATTACTTGCGTATAATTTTCTTGTACAAATATTAATTGTGATGAGGGTGTATTCTTTAACAAAACTTTCTTGTTCTTACTAAACCTATTATTTCTCTTTATGAATTTGTTATTCTTGTGCTAAATGTCACAGGGTACAATTATAATGTATGAGTATTCAAAACGCCTACAAAAATTATGCGAGCAAATAAATAAAATCACTACTTGACTAAAGTTGGAAAACGTTGCTCGTAAAATTAGAGTAATCGAAAAATTAATTTTATTTCACCTTAATTAATTTGGTTTTCATTTAATTAATTTTATAGCCGTATTTGGAAAGTTTTGTAATTAATAACAAGGCTTAGTTGCTTATGGAATATTTTATGTTTGTTTATACAACAGGCAAGATCAAAGTGAACGCGGGAGAATTTGGGTTAGTCTTAACAAGCGCCAGTAATAATATTACTGAGAAGGTTATGTATTAATAAACGTTAAATATATTAATACCCTTTTGTTGTTAAATTCAGGTTTTCCTGGTTCTTGGTTTATTTTAGAAAAGTTAAATGAAATAACTTTTGATACTAACCTCTTTGAAGTTTTCTGCTATGAACACAATGTATACGCATAACGCAGCTAGATATGTACACGTCATTGCATAGTCGACAAACGTCCTGAAATAAGAAAAAAATAAAATAAAATATAATTATTTGTTGACAAGACTAATTTTATCCCATAAATATCTTATAAGCAAATTCTTTTATCGATAAAAAAGCATCAAGTTTACAGAAATGATCATATCACTAGAATACATTTTAGTTATATTTCTATAATATAACATGTAAGAGATATTTTACCTTGCAAAATTGGCCCATGGCCGTAATCTTTTAGGTCCATACTCGAAAGCCGCTCCGCAAGTTTCTGCAAATCCCATTGAAGGCTTCTTAGCGTCCACACATACTTCTTGGGAAGTTTTAACCTGTTTAGAAAACAATTACATACATATATCAAGTGTTTAGAGAATTTTCTTTATGACAGTTTATTGGTATTATATTTTATTATGTAGATATATGTTGATATCTGGGAGAGTCATGCTTCAGCACAAATGGGTCGGCTCGACTGGAGAGAGACCACGGCCTCATATAAAACTGGCGTGAAACAAGCTCAGCGTTGTGTTTTGCCGTGTGAGTGAGGTTACCGGAGGCCCAGTCCTTCACTTCCCCTATTTCCTCCCCAATACCAAAATCTACTTTCTTATCCAGGTCGGCAACGCTCTAGTAGCTCCTCCGTTGTTGAAGGTGTCCATGGGCGGTGCTGATTGATTACTATCAGGTGATCCGCCTGCCCGTTTTCCATCCCATCAAATAAGAAAAGAAATATACATTACACAAATTGCTAATGTAGTTATTGAACTTACTTAATTTTAAAGTATTTATCGTTGAGCTCTGGAATAATTAGTCATCTAGGTATTCTAGGTAGAAGAAACAGCTTGTATTTAAGTACCATTCATTAAAATAATCATGAAAATAAGCGTAACCGTTCCAAATCAAAAACGTTATACGGAAATGGACCTTAATGTTGGCGAAAATGGTTGCCTAAACCATCTGATTCATTTAATTGTCCCCAAAAATTACTCGCCAACTTCGAAACAAAGGAATTTATTCAAATTCTGATATTAAACAATGGCGACTTGCGGGAAACTTTTGGCTGTTTGAAGATGGAAATAATAGGTTTGAAGTAATCGAAATAATTACTTCTATTGATCGAGATCCTTATTCTTCGTACTCAAAGACGAATTGTTTATTTTCCTTACTTCTTTATGCTGTAAATATGCATTCACCTTTGACAATAGTTTTATACAGGTCAAATAATAGGATGACTTTTACAGCTATGGAGTATCTATTAATAATCATTATCTGTTTGGATTCCAAGAATAATGGAGAGTAATTATTCTTCGAAATTGAATTGTGTGTTGTTTGTCTTTAAACAAATTACACATTACATTTCTGTTCTACTAAGGGATCAAAGGAATTGAGAACTAGAGTATAACACACGTAAAGTCCATAACATATTGTACCACAGCGCTGTTTCGCCGTGTGAGTGAGGTTACCGGAGGCCCAATCTCCCCCCCCCCCAATCCCAAAATAACCAAATTCGTAATCCCAAAAAGGTCGATAACGCACTCGTAACTCCTTCTCGTTGTTACATCTTTTTTTTTATGTAAACGATCGGCAAACTAGCATACGGATTACCTGATTTTAAGCAATCAGCGCCGCCCATGGGCACTCGCAACGGAGCAGTTACGAGTGCGTTGCCGACCTTTTAGGGATTAGGGATTTGGAGATTTAGGGATTGGGGAAGGGGAAGGATTGTGCCTCCGGTAACCTCACTCACACGGCGAAACACAACGCTGTGGTTATTTCACGCCGGTTTTCTGTGAGGCCGTGGTATCACTCCGGCCGAGCCGACCCATTCGTGCCGAAGCATGGCTCTCCCACACTTAAACATCCCACACTTATCTTACGTTGTCCATGGACAGTGTTGATTGCTTACCATCAATACGTGTCATCAATCCGTCTGCTAGTTTGCCGTTCTATAACACTAAAATCCATAACAATATATTATGGGATCTTTAAAAGAACTCTAATAGACATTGAACTAATAAACAATAAAAAAAATATCTATTACGGATGTCACGCCGCAGATTAACTAATTAGAGAATCTGAATAGTTAAGCAGTCTCCTTGGCCTTCAATCAAGTTTCCTTTTAACGTCGTGAGTAGAGACGATACTTAGAATCGACTTTATACTCGCATTATAGCTATTTCTTTATCATCTGATTGTTACTGCTTCCTTGATCGAGTCACGATTTCATCTAACCCAGATATATCCAAAGAGGTCGTCATCAAGGTATTTTTAGACTGATTAACTTTGGAATGATGTTTGGAAAAATGCTACCTAAATCTTAGGTAGAACCGACTAAATGATTTAAAAAAGAAACGAATTGTAAAACTGTTTGAAAAAGAGTAACCATGGAGTTTCTTGCTCGTTCTTCTCTATCGGAATCTATACTTTGGAACGAGCAAAAAGCTTCATTAAAGGACAGACACGCATGAAGTTAAACGTCTTGAAATATGTTGTTTGCTCAATTTTTTTGCTTGACTTTCAAAAGTGTCTACTTTGGTCTATTTGAAATAAATGATTTTGACTTGACTTTGACTTTGACTTTACAATAAAAGTAGAAGTATATTTGAAAACATGCCATTATGTACTATACAATGTATTTGCTTCTACATGTTATATATAAGTATATTTATATGTGAAAGAGCATTTCGACAAAATGAGCAAACTCGACCGGATTCATACCACGGCCTCACTGAAAACCTGCTTGGCAGAAAACGACTGAGGTCACCAGAGCCATAATCTTCAAATCCTTAACCTACAAACGGTTGGCAACGCGCTGGAAACACCGATTATTTTATATCACATCGTTAACCTATGTATAAGTGCAAACTGCTGAGCAAATTCTTCTTCTCACATTTAGATTCCTAACTTATATAAAATAATTAGAAATTATTTCCTCATGGTGTTTTCTTTCACCGTCAGTGGTTTCTAAATAATCATAGATTCATGTTAAATACATATAACTCGGAAAAAACCACATTCGTTCTTGCGATGTTTCGAACCCTCATGCATGAGATGCTGGCGCCTTTAACTCCGGGCCACCACGACGTTCGCCGATTGTTTACCATAAGTTAATATATTCTGTGATATCGTTTGCCCCACTATTACGTGATAAAGGTTAGGGAATATTATGAAATACAATGTGTTAGTAAACATTAGATTTAGATTTACGAAGCACTTTGTAAATTTATGTATATTTATTCGGAAGTCTCTCAGAGGAGCACTCAGACGATTTATCTACTCGACTGACTTGATTTATAAATGAGTTTGAGCTAGAGTAAACAAAACAAGTAACGTTTTAAACTAAGTTTAATAATATCCCTACTAGTAAGTAATAAGACCATTCGATTCTCTCCCCAGTTCCTTTCCTAAGTACTGTTTTGTTTAGTTACTCAATAATTATCATTATTCCAAATCAATTTTAAAATAAATAAAACCTTTTTGGTACATAATACCCAAATTTATGATACAATGAATTTCATCGTTTTTAAAATTTAGGAGCCTGTTTCGCCGTCCTTCATAAAAATACCCTATAAATCTATATGGCACATAGTTCGTACATATAAAGTTAAACATCATAAATCATCACGAACAAAAGGGTAAACTTAAAATCTATAAGGTACAATTTTGTGAACAACTGCAACGTGAGAAATTTTGAAACGGTTAAACTCAACTATATCTTATATTCTAGCTTGGGCACTGGGCAGCTTTGTTTGACTTTCCTCTTACATTTGTGGCACAAGAGAATCTCCCGTCCGCACCAGAAGTTGGCTAAAATGTTTATCTTGAGACTGGTCCAAAATATTCGCGAACTAGTGAAATTCTATTTTCAATATGAATGTGTATAAAAAAGGTTACTTATGACACCATGGTGCTATTAACGTAATTAAAAGTCATTTGTAAAAATGTAACTGGGCATCTATAAATAATTACTAGAATAACTAACAAATGAATTAACTACAATTTGGAACGAGCCCCTAGCTTCCCTGACGAACAAACTGACAGACTACTATTATATTTTTACGTTTCAAAAGTAACTATTTATGGTTTAGTTTGAATAAATAATTTTAATTTGATTTGAATTATGAATCATTAAGTATGTTGTCAAGGGCTCTACTTAAAAATGATTCCACTGATATGTCTTATTAGTTTATTGAAATTGTAGGAAGATTCAGATAAAGACAAAAAACTATGTTTACTAAACATAATTTTTTCGTATTAATTTTTTTTATGGGGTCAGACGCCAAACGAGCCCACGATTCACCTGATGGTAAGCTAGCGGTATCAGCGTCGAAAACTTATACAACATAGGGAGGGGGAAGAAAATTAGGATGGCTTCACCACGATTTCCTATGAGGCCGTAGTATGATTCCGTTTGAGCTCAGCATGACTTTACCATTGTTAATGATATAAAATACATATGCATATGTATTAATAAATATCTTACCAAAACATAAACACAGTGTGTACAGATAAATCCAACGACTAGTGTCCCAATTGCTCCGGCTGCTAAACCAGCGTTTTTGAAGGCAGCAGGCATTGCAAGGATACCAGATCCTAAAGAAGATTTCAGTAGATGCACCAGTGAACCAATAGTTCTGGAAAAAAAGAATCGTTTTAATGATAATAGAAAAAATGTAGACAAAAATAATTAATAGGAAATTATTCGTTCTATTTCTTATTCCAAGAATCTGATCAGTTGATCAGCAATTAAAAAGTATTGTTTCCGATCTTGGTGTAATAGTCTATCTCATATGATCTATGCAAAATTGTATTTTTGTAAACGCGTACCAAAACTTAGGACAAAATTAAATCTGAGCGAGTCGATGTATTCGGTTTATCAACATTTTGTTACATTGGAAACAAATCGAATCACAAAGACGGTGAAAAAATCTTAAAAACAATATGGTCTGAAAAAAGAAGCCAAGTTGTTTCAAAGGATGCCTGCTACAAAAACTATGTCTTGACCTTTTCACTAACCGAACCATCAATCAACATTAAAAAGAATAAGGTCCAATCTAGGCATCTTCTTAAAGCAGCTACCTACAAATAACACTCAAAAAAACTGTTAGAAACCTTGTTTAGTATTCCGAACGGTTAGCAAAGTTTGTATACCTAGTAATAATATTCTTTCTAAAATATTACTTCAAATAAGGTAGGCTTCAAATAAGAAGAAAAGTAATTTTGGTTCACGCTGTTACTTACGAGTTGGGGTGTTCCACTTTTCTATGCTCGAATGGGTTGTAGGCCTTCTCATTAATGACTTCTTTTGATCCTAAACTTAATGTCGACTGGAAGCCTGGGTTTGTCGCTAAATTTGCTCTGTAAGAAATGGAAAATTCAATTTTAAGAAGTCAAAAGTTCTTGGAAAGTTTCTTTGTTGTTGCGGTTTATAATTTTGAAGTGTTATAGTATTGTGATAAATTAAAAATTACATTGAAATACGGTACTTTTTAACTAGTCAAATTCATACTTTTATCCAAATATCAAAAACGATACTTTTCTATGAAATTTGTATGAAATACTGACGTGTATATATGACGTCATAGAATTTTTGGGTCAAATAGCTTCCTGAGCAGGAGCTGACAGTAGGTGGTTTGTTTTAATGTCATAGAAAAAGCCACGAGACATCGACTGACAAGCGATTAATAGAAAAGGAACCAAAGTATCATCTCATCAGCTAAGAACCTTCAAAGTACAGCACAGCACTAGTGAAAGTAAATACCATAGACCTCATCTAGATTACTAATACATTCTAGTACTCAAATCTTCAAAGTTTCTGGTTTATCCAGCCAATTAAACTATTAGTTAAATGGCAATGAAGTCACGTTACAATTATACCTCACGTTACCACATTTAGAAGGTAGATTAAAGAGATCTAATGTATGTTTAAAAGTTTCAGTATTACTTCTAGAATAATTTATAAGATAAAATTTCCAAGTTTTGTCTTTTTGTTCCATGTAAAATTAAAGTTTAGATCTAGATGGGGCTTGTTCAGACGGGGCCCTTAGAGCTGATGTTTAGCAGGGGTTACAGGGTAAGCTTAATGAGGCACCGCGACCTCGACCCAGAGCAGGAGAAGGAACGGGGGGGTTTTTAGTCAGTAAGAGTCTGACACTTACCGCCCGACCATGGGCGGGAGAAGTCATTTGATGATTTTCCCCTCACAAAAAAAGGTGACCCTTGTTAGGTTGTTTTTATTGACCTTCTTAATTCATCCGTATTTGATTTTTGTCAAGCTTGTAAAATTGCTATAATACATTTGTTTTTAACGAGTAAATAATCTTGTGACTTTTGGTGCCTTATTTTAAAACATGAAATATGTCACTGCAAGCTTTAAGACTCAGATTTTTATAAGAGTCAGTACTTACGGATTTTAGATTAAAGTAGTTTCCGAGTAACCAGTCAAATTAAAATTTTCTGAAGATCAATAAGGACAATTTTCTATGAATTTTGTATAAAATAGAATGTTGTGATGACATTGATTTTACGTCCAATAACATACTTATATCTCTTTAATTATTTGAAAAAACACTAATACTGAGCGTTTCGTATTATTGTGGTTTCATAAGTTGATTATTTTTGAAAGGGACTGATGAAATGTCCCTTCGGATACTAAAAAGCGAGACCAACTGCAAATATGATTATTTATTATTACAAACATTTACGTAATCAACATTCTCATTTGAAACGCAAAATTGAATTTTCGAATAAATTCTACAATTTATTAAGAACTTAATCGTATAGCTTAACGTAGTGTGATTGATAGATGGAGGATTATGTTAGATATTATTTCGGGGATAATATCTAGATATCATTTAATGTGATAGCATTAAATTCGCACCCTCAAAGATACCTTCGGACCATCAAATGTGTTCTCCCAGGGTATAGCGAGAGAGAATCTCTTACTGACTTAAATCCCACCCGTTCCTTCTCCTGCCCCAGGCCAAGGTGATCTTATTGACCCGCGTATACCTCGAGGCCACGACAACATTACATGAACTAGGCAAGGATAGAATTATAGAGGTCTCATGTGTGTGCACGCACAACCGGGTTTGAAACCTTCCAGGTAGGTAGGTGTTGTATTGTCTATGATTAGTATTACTAATCAGTGTTGCACTATTATTGTCTATGTCGTCATATCACTATAAAGAGGGTGGCCGAGCGAGTGTCGGCCATTGACAATGTAACTCTGGTGCAGTGAGCTGCAGGACTGTGTAACGTATAAATAAAGTCAAGTATCCAAGATCCAAGTCTTTCAATCATAGCACATGGTGTCAGAAGTGAAAAGAACAATAAGAAAAATTCATTTCACGTAAGTCGGTCACAAAAATGGACCAGTCGAGTTCCGAGCCATGCGGCGTGGGCGACCAAGATGGCGTCCAAGGTCTCAACACGAGGATGAAATCATTAAATATTTCGTCGGATTCCACAAATAATAATGCGGAAGCGTGGAAACGGTGGTCGCAGCAACTGGACCTATATCTACTCGCCACGGGTTTAGACAGGGCACCCGAGAAGAGAAAAATAGCCATACTGCTGCATCTTATAGGTGAGAAAGGCCTAAACATTTTTAATACATTTAACCTCAACATCGACAAGACCACGCTTGCCGAAGTGAAGCAGAAATTCAATAATTTTTTTGAGCCCCGGAGGAACATAACCATGTGTCGTCACATGTTCTTCACGAGGAGGCAGAAGCAATCCGAGTCCATCGAAGGATTCCTGGCAGACCTGGAAAATAAGAGCCAGGATTGTGAATTCGGAACGCTCAAGGAGTCCCTCATCAGGGATATTTTCATTGCCAATCTGCACATGGACCTGGCACATGTCCGTCAGAGATTGCTTCAGGAGCCTGATCTGACATATCAAAGGATGCGCGAACTGGCGAGAACATTAATCGTCGCACAGCAGGATGCTGAGAAGATCGTCGGTTCCAGCGAGAAACAGGAAAATGTAATGCATCTACGTCGGAGGAGCCGTAGTCGAGGAGATCGTCGACAGCGAGCTTCACCAGTCGGTCGGCAGGGTCCTGGTACGAGGCAGTCTCCCAACCCTGAAAGGCGCACGAGGCCGTGTAGCCGCTGTGGGCAGTCTCATCGATACAAGTGCCCAGCGCAGGGAGTCCAATGCAGGTCATGTAACTTATTTGGTCATTTCGCTAAATTTTGTTTTAAAAATAAAAATGTAAGTCGTTTAGAGTCGTTTAATTCAAATAGTAACAGTAGTCAGGATCATTATTTCATTGGAACATTAAACAGTCATTGTCAAAGTCATATAAAGTCAAATAAAAGTACAAAATATAGTCACTATAATGTAGTGTCAAGTAAAAAGTCAGTCAGCACACAGTCACATCGTCAGTCCTCACTATCACCACCACAGTTACATTGTCAATCACCATCACCACCACAATTACATTGTCAACCACCATCGGAATGGTCTCATAAAGATCAATTACAGTTGAGGAATGATTCCGATGATGAAACTTATGTCATGTCTGAGAGATCTCACCGAGACTCATATTGTCAATCTGAGAAAATCATTCTCATGTCAAATTTCTGTGATGATAGTGGTGATAATGTCATGTCTAAGAGGTCTAAAAAGAACCTCGGTGATGAAAGCAGTCACCTGTCTGAGAAACTAAATTTTCACTCAAATTTCTGTGATGATAGTGGTGAAAATGTCATGTCTAAGAGGTCTAAAAAGAACCTCGGTGATGAAAACAGTCACCAGTCTGAGAAATATAATCTCATATCATATGGTCACAATTTAAACAAATGTTGTGATAGTCAAAGTGTGTATCTCAATGATGAGTACAGACACATGTCTGAGGAATCACCTCACACGCTCACACCACCACATCAAAGTCATCAGTCATTGAACAACATTAATACAGTTCAATCAGAACCTAACATTAACAAAAGTAAACAGTCCTGGAATATTAATTTAAAAGTAGGTAATTTAAAATTTAATTGCATCATAGATTCAGGAGCTGATTTAAACATTATGTCGAAGCAAACTTTTAATTATTTAAAACATAAGCTTAAACAGTTGTCAATTGTCAAAAGTCATATAAATGTCACAGGATTTAGTGGCAAATCAATACCCATTATGGGAAAGGTCAATATTAAATGTAATTTAATATTAAATAATAACAATGTCAGTGAGAACATAGTGTTCATAGTCGCAAATTTAGAGTGTCCCAATGTCTTAGGTCTTCCTACATGTGAAAGGTTAGGAATAATTAAAAGAGTTTTTTCAGTGTCTAAACAAAATTTTTGTCAACAAATTCTAACAAAATACAATGATGTCTTCCAGGGTCTTGGCTGTCTACCTCCTGTCTGTCACCTGAAACTCAAACCTGATGCAGTACCATGTGTGGATCCTCCCAGGAGAGTACCATTTGCGTTACTTGGAAAGCTACGCGAGGAGTTGGATCGCATGGAGAGCATGAAAGTCATAGAAAAAGTCACTAAGCCTACAGAGTGGGTGAATAGTATAGTTATAACTGTAAAAAGTTCAGGTCAGTTACGAATTTGTTTAGATCCTAGAAATTTAAATAAAAATATCATAAGGGAAATATATCCACTTAAGTCAATTGATGAGATAAGATCTCAACTAGTTGGAGCTGTCTGTTTTTCTCATTTAGATGCATTTTCGGGTTTTTGGATGTTAAAATTAGATGAATATAGTTCTAAATTATGTACTTTTCAAACACCATTTGGTAGATATAAATATTTAAGGTTACCTTTTGGAATAAATGCATCATCAGAAATATTTCAAAGAGTTATGATGAATTTGTTTGGTGATTTGGAAGGAGTCTTAATATTCATTGATGACATTCTAGTCTATGGCCCAAATGAGTCTGTACATAATGAGAGATTACATAAAGTCATGCAAAGAGCACGTCAAGTTAATTTAAAATTTAACAAATCTAAATGTAAATTTCTAGTGTCTGAAGTCTGTTTCCTAGGTTATATCTTTAGTAAAGATGGTGCAAGGGTTGACCAAGAGAAAGTTAAAGCAATTGTCAATATGCCTACACCAAAAAATGTCAAAGAATTACAAAGAATATTAGGTATGATCAATTATTTAGGTCCCTTTATTAGTAATTTGTCAGAAAAAACTCAAATTTTAAGAAATCTTTTGAAAAAAGATTCTGTCTGGTCTTGGGATGAGAATCACAATAAATGTCTTAAGGGTTTAATAGATGAAATCACAAAGTCACCTGTCTTAGCTCACTATAACCCCAACATTCCATTAGTCTTGTCAGTAGATTCGTCTAAATCAGCATTGGGAGCAGTCATTTTACAAAATAATAA